TTGAAGATAGTGTAGAAATTTAACTCACTCCTTTGAAGTACAGTATTCACATAGTGTCTGTCTGTCTCTCTCTCTCCCTCTGTATGTCTGTCTTTGTTTTTAACACTTATGCTCACCAGCCATTATTTGTCCATCTCACACTTTAACATGTACAGGTAGTCCTCAGTCATTTTACGCCCTTGTTTAGTGTTAGCACAGGGTCTTTCACATTTAGAAGTCAGATTAACATAGGGATATAACTTTATTTCAAGGCTCCTTCAAACAACTTAAAGCATTTATATGTTGCTGCAGTAGCTGGAAAAAATCTAAAAGCAATCCCTGAGATGACAGTATTTATACATACTTGCAATATTGTTTATGTAATTTCCCTGTAGCCAAATGTTGTATATATGTACCATACTGTATTTTCCATCTTAAAAGATTTTTTTTTTTTTCCAATATTTAAAACTCTTACAGATCTTAGTTCCTTGATGGACAAACCATGAAGTAGCAAAGTATAGAAGACTTATGGTCAAGTGTTATGGTGTCCCACATTAAGGGATACTACAGGAGGTTAATTCATCTGTGTTTCTTCTTACTGTTAGTACGGGTTTAGTGCTCCCCATGATGATAATCTTACTATTAGCTCGTGTAAAATTAACTTTTTCCATACAACTAAATCTTGACTGATAAGCTGTACTGTAACTTAAACCTGATTGAGCTGATAATCCTCATTTTTATTGCTTGCAGAAAACACATTGGTCATACAGTACCAGCCTTATTAGTGATAGTCGAACTTCTCTTAACTGACAGTATGTACTATTTATGAAAGGGTTTAGCACTTCTTTTTGATTATAATAACAATTTATGAAAGAGCATATAAACTTATCTTTAGCTTCCTGTCTTTGAAGGCCCCACTTTTGATGTACACACTTTAACAAGCATTTGGGAGAGACCTCTGGCACCTCTCTGAGAGCAATTGTCTTATTGATAGTCCAAACACTTTGATTGTCCTATTTATCAAAGAGCTTGTAGAATTCATTTCCAACATCTGCATGTTCTCATTCTAGCTGCTTTCCTCTTATAGAACCTGACTTTTGATACAGAGACTTAGAGACAGGCTGCAGATCTTGCCCAGTGAGAAAGACCTAGAGGCAAGTGTAGCTCCTAGCATCTCGTCAGAGGCTCCAACTGAATAACTTCTATAGTCGATGCTCGGGTATCTGAGACATTAAGGACCATTTATATAAAACCTGTACTAAGGGGTACAAGCTATGAAGGTAATGGGATTGAACAATATTGGAAGACAGGAAATGGGATACATTATGCGTAATATTTTTGGAGAAATTGGTAAGATACAGTGATGGACTGTGAGAGGCAGGAAGCAGGTAATCACCAGGCACAGCTAAAGTTAGAGATGAGCTGCAGAGATGTCAGGAAGTATTTCTTCAGTTTATAGTCTCTTGGTGATCAGGTGAAATGACGTCAACAAAAAGTGGTGGTGGCAGGCTTCATGCATAATTTTAAGAACAGGTATGATAAGACTACGAGGAAGTGAATATGACAAGTTGGTAGGCAGAAGGTAGGACTCAATCCCTGCAACCCCATGTAGGCGAGTACAGAGATTATGGTTTCTTAACTATGACTGACCACACTAATTTTGATGCTTTTAGCACCAAGGCCCACCCAGTTGGCATTTTATTTTTTCCATGATGTCAGCACCCCTTTGCCTTTTAAAACCTTGACCCCTATGGGTTTGACTTAGCCTTCCACATGATAAAAGTACCTCCTCCATACCAGTCTTTACATTTTTTTTATATATTGGTTATCTAATTGAGGTTAGTGACCCCAAAAAAACAAGGAAACATGTCATTATTCATTCAGTAGCTGTCTTGTCAGAAGTTCAGATGTTATAAATCAAAGGGCTTTCTGAACTGCAGGATTCCCACCCCTCCTTCAGAGTGCAGGCACTTCTCCCTGCTTCCAGGACTCAAGTCTGCTTAACCAGTTAACTTGAATCCCTTCATAAATATTATCTTGCTCTTACTTCAAGCCACAAACCACTGGTTTTCCTTTAACTCTGATCTAATATGGGCACAAAAGCCCACTAGATACTAAAGCTCTTAAGCACTTGCAACCTTTATCCCTTCCTGGGAAATCCCCTACCCCTCCTGTCACCCATAATTTGTGTACCCTTTAAGTCGTAGTCTACTACTTGCAAAATGCTGAAACCACCTTAACAGCCCCTCCTCAGCTCTTGATTTATACTTTGGTGACCCTGCACTGTCTTCTAAGTCTTTGCTCTGATACACAACACATTGCTCTCAGCATGACATTCCACTCCCTCCAGCCTTCTCATAGCAACACTTAGTCTATATCTCATACGCATATAAAAGCATTGGTAGCACTCTGGTTCATTACCTTGTTTTTCCTCCATAAATACTTTCCACAGTTGTCTCGGCCCACCACCCTTTCTTTCCCCTTGTCTATTCTGCCATTTATTTCATCTTTAATCCTTTAGGTGTCGGTGCTGTAATATTGCAGCTTTGAAGCCAGTGTTGGTCCCGTAATACTATGCCAAAATTCTAACAGCTTCAAATCTTGTGGGAGAAAGCTGGTGGGCCTTCATATGAGAGAATAGGCCTGCATGGTCAGTTTGTGCAGTATAAAAAAAAATCCTGCAGCATGCAGTGCATGAGAAAAAAAAAACTAACAGTTTTGGTTTAAAACGGTGACTTTGCAGTGTATTTTCGTATGGTATTTAGGTTGCGTTCTAGTTTTCTTGGTCTCATTTGATAGAATGAAAGATATATTACAGAAATAGAGGTGATTTTTGCATAAAGGTAGCTTGAAATTGAGCTCAGAGTAGCAGGAATGTTTGATTTTTGATGATGTTCAAGAATAAATAAATCACGTCATGTGTCCAGTACACATCAACTGGTGGGTCTAATGTACATTCACGAATGCACCGATATTATTTATCATTACAAATTATGCAGTAGTCTGAATAACAGTAAATCCTCTATTTCTTGTGTGAATAAAAATTCAAAGTAATGTAAGGGGCCTGGAGATGTGACTAATGAACAGAAAATGTCATTTTAGGGCCAAGAATGTCTACCTTGTTTATTCTGGCCCCTATTTTGAAATTGGCCTTGAATTTTGCATGAAATTGGCCAAATTCGTAATTTCTGATCACTTTGTGTAATTGAAATAGGTAAATAGGCAGTTTCTTGTACTCATTATTATTATTATAATCAAGGGGGAAGCGCTAAACCCGGAGGATTATACAGCGCCTAGCCCTTGTGGCTTAGCGCTTCTTTTTGATTATAATAATAATATACAGCGCCTGGGGGGGGGGGGAGGATGTGGAAGGCATTCAGGCTTAATTCGGGGAACTGGAGCACAGATCCAATTCCCTAAATCAAGAGCCCCTCACCAACATCAAGGAACCTTCCTTGAGGGGTTCTTGTACTTGATAGAATAAAAGGAGTTCTATGAAATAGCTATGAGTTTGGACTAGTGGAACAAAGGACTTGGCCCAAAATAGGGCTCAAAGTGGGTGAAATCGCTGATGTGTAAATATCGCCGAGACTGCTACTTCGCAAGAGCGTAATTTTGTAAGTTTTCCATCAGATTTCAAGCTTTTGGTTTCATTACCTTTGGAAAAAGATTCTCTTATTTCATTTTTTTTTTCCTTTTTGTTTTTCTGAAAATTCTTTGACACTATGAGCAAGTTTGTGAGCAGGGATCTCAACACTGATTATTATTATTATTATAATAAAAAAGAAGCGCTAAGCCACAAGGACTATACAGCATCTCAACACTGAGGGTTACTAGAACCACCTGGTGAATATTTATTCGCATAATGCCTCTGACCAATCTAACGTCAAATTTTTAATTGCCTAGACTGTTACTCTCATTTTTTTTTACCATGTTCATTTTGAATTTCATTCTTGTACATACCCTCCCAAATTCATCTACCAACTTTATTTTTCCTTCAGAATTTCCCAAGAAAACTGTCATCAGCAAAGAACTGGGACAACTCCCACTTTCTATCAGAGGCACTCTCCATTAGGCCAACACCTCTTCCCAGTACCCCAGCATTTGCTTTTTTCTTACAACCCAATCAATAAATGTTGAAGAATCATGGTCTCCTTATCTGATTATCTCCCATTCCCCAGATGCTATAATTTTGTGAATAATTCAAATTTAATGCATACTCTTAGCTCTTTATATACAAGAGAATGTTTGAATGCAGGATTAAGGTCTCCTTTTACTAGTGCCCCTTTTCATATTGCACTTTGTAGGTTATATCCCTGAACGCTGTATAATCCTATGGGTTTAGCGCTTCCCCTTTGATTATAATAATAATAATATATCCCTGAACAAATAAGACCTCACCCTGGGAAAGACTTTTAAAGTCATAAGTTATACTTCCTTATAGCTTAATTAGGTTGCCTCGAGTTTTCTGTTTTGTATTCATTATTTTAGCATCTGCAGATATGCCATTACCCTTAAGCCATATTATATTCATGATGTGCTGCATGACCCAAATAGATTTAGCAGATAAATTTTAATATATATTTGCAATGCTAAAATCATATGGGTTGTTCAGCACTATACTGTACTCTGTATTATTATTATTATATTATAATCGAGGGGGGAAGCGCTAAACCCGGAGGATTATACAGCGCCTGGGGGAGGGATGTGGAAGGCATTCAGGCTTAATTCGGGGAACTGGAGCACAGATCCAATTCCCTAAATCAAGAGCCCCTCACCAACATCAAGGAACCTTCCTTGAGGGGACTGTACTCTAGCTACCATACATGAGGGTAATTGTAATCACTATAATCCTTTCATAACTGTTCAAAGAAAATGTTCAGTCAGAGGGTCTGTTCCCCTGTATCTTGTTAATTGTTAAAAAATTTATAAAACCTTCAGAAAATGCAGTAATCACTATTGACAGTTTATTTTGTACATTACTACTGCATACTTGTATTAAAATTATTAAAAAGTCCACACTGGCTTGATATTTTTTATAAATTAGTAAAATAAAATTCTTAGCCTTAAATATACAATATGTACAAGTATTGAAAATGAAAAGATCACTATTTGAATTAAGAGTACAGTACTGCATGCTAGACAACAAATTTGCAAAATTCAAAACTGACATTGTACAACCTCTTTAACAAAATTACTGTATTCAGAGTACTGTATAGGTTTCATATATGTAGAAAAACTTTGTTACTGCTTGCACTGTAATGCTTGAGCTCGTCACCTCTCAAGGACAATATTTCAGAATCCAATTTAGGTCCACTCTTTGCCTGGAAAAAAAATGTAATGTAATGAACAACTCGATCATACACTGTAGATTCATATAGTTATTAAATATTAGAATTCCCCAGACTACTATTGTATTTAGTACAGTACAGGCAGACCTTAATGTAAGTACCCAGTGAATTAATAGGGCAGAGATGGGAAGTTACATATCCTGGTTAGGTACTCAAGTTAACCTGCCCCATTATTTAATTGTTGCCATGATGCTATCCAACTTGTCAGAAGCTGTAACTAGTATGTATTGGTCATAAGGGATGGGTCTCGCCTAGTCAGCTGCCAGACAGGGCCACTGTTTGGACAGACTTATGCTGAGCCTCTGAATATAAATCAGATATCCTATATAAATATGTAGGTCATAAAGCTCATGATCTCCAGTCACCAGTTTTTCTTCCAAGGCAAGTCCCATCTGCTTACAATGGATACAGTGAAAGCTCGTGAAGAAACAGCGACACCTAAGTTGTTAAGACATTATCTTAAGGATTCAGTGAATTAATAGGCTGGAGAATTTTACATGAATGGACATTATTCAAAAGCATATTTCAATGTTTAAATACTACTCAAAGGCATCCCATATAGCTATTTGCAGATCTAAAGAAAGATATTTAGGGGTACTTGCCCAATGTCCTAACATGAGTTTTATTGTAGTACATAACTGGGTATCTTTACTTTGTAGAAGTTTCACCATCCAGTGGCTTTGTCAATACAATACATGAACATAATCTGAAAACTAGAAATACAGTGGATGAGGAAATCAGTCCCTCAGCCTCAGAGCAGGTGATGAGTACCAGTCTTGATGAATTCAGTATAGGAAAAAAGATTGGTACTTGTATACAGGAGTCACATGAGTGCACTTCATCTTGCTCCAGTATATAAGTGCCAATGTTTCTGCCTGCCTCTTCAAGGGGGGTAGCTCCTTGGCATGGTGAAGAGGCTGAGGAATTAGAACTTTTGGTCTCCTTCCTCAAACCAAACCTAATTGCCCCCCTAATCCTCCCTTCCCTATCCCACCCTCCCCATGCCCCTCCCCCTTTTTTTTTTCTCCCTTTCCTCCCTTCTCCCCTTGTTTCCCATCCCATTTGTAGTCTCTGGGCTCCTCCCCTCGGGCATTACGGTTTCTAGGTAGGGGGAAGTGTGCCGGGGTTCATCCCACTCTGTGGGGTCCCTTGGGGGTGGTGTGGTTTGCTGTGGAATCTGAATTGTCTGAACGTGCCCTGCTCCCTTCCCGGATTTACGAGAAGTGAGCGGGGTGCCCTTCAGATAATGGGTGTACCTCCAGAAGCTGCCTTTCGGTTCTGGGAGGTGGCAGCCGAAGGAGGTATGCTTTATGGCGAGTTTCCGACCGCCCTTTCTTTTGTCTGCCAAGGTGGCTTGGTAGATGTGAGGCTGCTATCCCAAAGCACTGGTTTACTGGCGTGAAGGGTAGGGTATGACACGAGTTCCACACTGCATCTTCATTGCCCATGGGCTCGAGGCCCTCTCGGATGAGGGGGGGGGGGGGATGAACTTCTGGCCCACTGTCCCTCCATTGTCCCTCTTTTCTTTCCTTTCCTTTTCTTCTTTGTTTCTAAAATAACAAGGAAGAAGCATCTTTATTATGGAGTCTTCACCCAATGAAACCTTTCCTCCTCCCAGACTCGTCTGATCCCACACCCTGTTCTGACCCAGCTTTGTTATTGGTCCATTCTCTCTACTATTCTCATACCCCTGTACCTTCTGCTGGTGACGCTGCATTGCCCGTTTGTCCATGCTGCTACTTCTAGCGTACCTTTCACAATGTGTCCAGCTTCCCCACATACGGTGCGATGATTTTTGGATCGCCAGCCTCCCTCAGGTCAAACCGCCCACAGTACTACTAAATGACCAAGACAACCTACTGATGACAGTTCATCGATGATCGCTCAAAAACGACTGACACGGCAATCGCTACCTTTGCATACCAGGCTAATGAGTGTGCAATGGACAAAATTCTTTTCTTTACAAGTCTTAAATGGATTATCTGTCTGATCATGGAATTGGTAAAAGTCTTGTAAGGCACGTTGGCCAAACTATATCTTTCCATGCTCTTCGAAGCAGTGCGCATGTCATAACAGCACAGGATTCAGATCAAGCTCATGCTCTCTCCCGCATCACTTCAAATGATAACATACCAGTCACCGTTTGTAAGCACGCTACTCTTAATTCTTGCAGTGGTACTGTGGTATTACTCCGTACAATTCTATAGAGTGATTTTTTGTCTTGTGATATTTTAGAACAATTAGTCCTTCAAAACCTCCTTATTCTTAAGGTAATTACATACATCCTGCCCGCTCGTGGGCAGAGATGCTTTCCCATTAACATCGCTCGTTTAACCTTCGACTGCCGTGAACTTCCGTCCTCTGTCTACAATGCGGGCCATCGTTTAGAGGTCCAAGTAGTTCCCACTCCCCAACAGTGTCGTAATTGTAATAATGTTGGTAGAATTACCGACAATATGTAAAGTAAAAGGACACAAGTGCAACTAATGTGACATTTTATTGTGGCAACGTTTCACTCTCCAGGAGCTTTGTCAAGCCGATACAAACAGTATATGGACACAGAGGGTATATAAAGGCTCAGAGTGAGGTGCAATACTAGTGAGGTACCATTTCGATGTTCACAGGTGGTAGTAGTAGTAGTAATACAGGTCTCTCTCAACATTCACGAGGGTTAGGAGATCAAGAGCCTCGTCAATGTTGAAAAACCGTGAATGTTTGGTGCCCCAATATATTGTAGGGAAATATAATAAAATACTGCTTCCTTAACTTGTTGAACCATGAACAATCATAAAATACATGAAAACGTCGTAAATTGTACTAAATACATACGTTATGCCTTAACAACATGTATGTTATTAAATACCACTGCAAGTCCCTACTACCCTCCCTCCGACCCCCCACAACTGGCAGCCAGCCTTCCCACCACTGTGTGGTGAGTGTTTTGCTTGTTCATTATTTACTATTAAACTACAGTATAAATAATGTAAACCCATCCATGACTGCATATTATTATTTTTATTTTTATTTTATTATCACACTGGCCGATTCCCACCAAGGCAGGGTGGCCCGAAAAAGAAAAACTTTCACCATCATTCACTCCATCACTGTCTTGCCAGAAGGGTGCTTTACACTACAGTTTTTAAACTGCAACATTAACACCCCTCCTTCAGAGTACAGGCACTGTACTTCCCATCTCCAGGACTCAAGTCCGGCCTGCCGGTTTCCCTGAATCCCTTCGTAAATGTTACTTTGCTCACACTCCAACAGCACGTCAAGTATTAAAAACCATTTGTCTCCATTCACTCCTATCAAACACGCTCACTCATGCCTGCTGGAAGTCCAAGCCCCTCGCACACAAAACCTCCTTTACCCCCTCCCTCCAACCTTTCCTAGGCCGACCCCTACCCCGCCTTCCTTCCACTACAGACTGATACACTCTTGAAGTCATTCTGTTTCGCTCCATTCTCTCTACATGTCCGAACCACCTCAACAACCCTTCCTCAGCCCTCTGGACAACAGTTTTGGTAATCCCGCACCTCCTCCTAACTTCCAAACTACGAATTCTCTGCATTATATTCACACCACACATTGCCCTCAGACATGACATCTCCACTGCCTCCAGCCTTCTCCTCGCTGCAACATTCATCACCCACGCTTCACACCCATATAAGAGCGTTGGTAAAACTATACTCTCATACATTCCCCTCTTTGCCTCCAAGGACAAAGTTCTTTGTCTCCACAGACTCCTAAGTGCACCACTCACTCTTTTTCCCTCATCAATTCTATGATTCACCTCATCTTTCATAGACCCATCCGCTGACACGTCCACTCCCAAATATCTGAATACGTTCACCTCCTCCATACTCTCTCCCTCCAATCTGATATTCAATCTTTCATCACCTAATCTTTTGTTATCCTCATAACCTTACTCTTCCTGTATTCACCTTTAATTTTCTTCTTTTGCACACCCTACCAAATTCATCCACCAATCTCTGCAGCTTCTCTTCAGGATCTCCCAAGAGCACGGTGTCATCAGCAAAGAGCAGCTGTGACAACTCCCACTTTGTGTGTGATTCTTTATCTTTTAACTCCACGCCTCTTGCCAAGACCCTCGCATTTACTTCTCTTACAAACCCCATCTATAAATATATTAAACAACCACGTGACATCACACATCCTTGTCTAAGGCCTACTTTTACTGGGAAAAAATTTCCCTCTTTCCTACATACTCTAACTTGAGCCTCACTATCCTCGTAAAAACTCTTCACTGCTTTCAGTAACCTACCTCCTACACCATACACTTGCAACATCTGCCACACTGCCCCCCTATCCACCCTGTCATACGCCTTTTCCAAATCCATAAATGCCACAAAGACCTCTTTAGCCTTATCTAAATACTGTTCACTTATATGTTTCACTGTAAACACCTGGTCCACACACCCCCTACCTTTCCTAAAGCCTCCTTGTTCATCTGCTATCCTATTCTCCGTCTTACTCTTAATTCTTTCAATTATAACTCTACCATACACTTTACCAGGTACACTCAACAGACTTATCCCCCTATAATTTTTGCACTCTCTTTTATCCCCTTTGCCTTTATACAAAGGAACTATGCATGCTCTCTGCCAATCCCTAGGTACCTTACCCTCTTCCATACATTTATTAAATAATTGCACCAACCACTCCAAAACTATATCCCCACCTGCTTTTAACATTTCTATCTTTATCCCATCAATCCCGGCTGCCTTACCCCCTTTCATTTTACCTACTGCCTCACGAACTTCCCCCACACTCACAACTGGCTCATCCTCACTCCTACAAGATGTTATTCCTCCTTGCCCTATACACGAAATCACAGCTTCCCTATCTTCATCAACATTTAACAATTCCTCAAAATATTCCCTCCATCTTCCCAATACCTCTAACTCTCCATTTAATAACTCTCCTCTCCTATTTTTAACTGACAAATCCAT